GCAGAACCAATCCCTTTATCATGTGTGCGTGCGTGTGTGTGTGTTTATATTTTAAACAGCATGCACGGGAGAAATACTGTGGACAAGAGGCATAACCACAACCAAAATGAGAAGTCTCCTTGCTTCTGGAGACACACAGCCTTGCCAAGGCCCACATGCTTCCACTGACACTGAAAATGCTTTCTTTGCTCACAACCCCCTTTCCATAAAAAACTAACATGGGCCTGACAAAGTGCCATGAGACACTGACTCAGGTTGTCATTCTGTAAAAATCGTGCCAGGAATAGTCTGGTCTAACAGGGGAGCCGTGAAAATACGCGTTGGGCTGCCTGAAGCCAATCCTGAGCCTGACACTCACTAGCTGTGTGACCTTGAGCGTGTGCTGTAATCTCTGGGAGCCTCAGTTTCTTCACCTGTAAAGTGGGAATGTCAATGGTAGCTAACTCCTAGGTGACTATGAGAAAGCCTCTATACAAGAAAGTACTTGGCAAGTGTGCAGCACATTGAAAGCTCTTGTTATGATTCCAGCATGTCCCAGTGTAGGTCACTATGTGGTGGCTATTGTCACTGACACTGCCTGTCCCTGTTTTTGTTTTCCCTGGGGGGTCAGGGTCTATGAGTGCATGGAGATCCTCTGCCCCCCACTACTCGGCTCCCCTGGAGCCTGAGCACCTCGAGGCAGGTCTGGGCTCCTGGGCTGGGCAGGTGGGGGCCCCTACCCTCTCCCTGTCCTCCCTTTTTCCTCCATCACTCTCCATTCAGCCTCAAACTGCATTCCCAGGGCTGGCTCAAAAGTCCCCAGCAGCAGCCTTCCCTGGGGAGGAAGTAGGGAGCGTGTGAGGCTAGTGAACTCAGCTGGGGTGTCAAGGGGATGGGAGGGCGTCCTGGGAACAGAGGCCCAGAGAAGCCGCATAACAGAGGGGCCCTGGAAAGGGGCCCCACACGGTAGCTCCCACCCCAGCTTCCACATCTTCTCTGGATGCCTCTCTGGACCTTTGCCCTCATCCTTCCTGCTTCCCTTTCTCCCATGCCTATGCCTCACTGTGAGTCCAGTGCTGGGCTCGTGATGGAAATCGCAGCCGTTTATGTGGGCTCACGACGTGCCAGCAACTGCGTCTGCACTTGACACGACTTCATCTGACCTTCACAGACAAGCCCGAGTCAGGAGAGGAGCAGCCACTCGCTCGCTCTTGATCGCACAGCTAGAAGGAGCCAGGGGCGAGATGCAGTGCAGATCTGCCTGGCTCCAGGGCCTGTCTTCTCTGTTCTTTGCAAATATATGGCCAAAACCCTAGGACCCTAGAGCCCAAGGGAAACACAGCCTGGGGGAGCCACGTGCCTGAGGAGGCCAAGGAAGGGGAGCTGAGGGCAAGGAAGCCTCTCCAGAGAGAACCCACTGTGGGCATGGGTTCGCGTGGTTGCACGGAGCCCCGACCTCAGCCCTCTCCCACTGTGGTGCCATCTGGCTCGCAGATGTGGCCCATTCCCAGGCCCTCGTGTTCCTTGGAAACTAGCAAGGCCAGCAGAGGGCACAGCGGCTTTTGCAATGACCTAAGGCTGTGAGCTTTGTTTCAGGGTCATCCAGCCACTTGGGCTCAGGGGGCAGCTGGATGGAGCGTGAGCAGCCCTGGGTTCAAGCTTGTCTCTGGTTCTCGCCAGCGGGTGGTGAACCCTGGGCACATTGCAGGGCTGCTGGGAACCTCAGGCGGGGAAGTTACTTCTACCTCTGGCCTCTGGCGGAGGTTGTGAAGGTGCCCTCAGTTATGGAAAGAAGCACTTTGAGGGGTGAAAGCCTTGGGCAGCTGGAAGCAGTCACAGGCGGCCCCAAGGCTGGCCCTTCAGTCTTGGCCACTGTGTTAACCCCAAGTTGTGTGTGTGTGTGTGTGTGTGTGTTTAAGATTGTATCTATTTATTCATGAGAGACATAGAGACAAAGGCAGAGACACAGGCAGAGGGAGAAGCAGGCTCCCTGTGGGAAGCCAGATGCAGGACTCATCCCAGGACCCCAGGATCATGACCTGAGCCAAAGGCAGATGAGCCACCCAGGTGCCCAGCCCAAGTTTTGACTTACCCCTAAATGGCTGCTTTCTGATGTGTGAGCCGGAGGCGGAGTCATTCGTCAGAGGGGTTTCTGGAAAACTTCCTTCCACACCCTTTCTTTCAAGATGGAGCCTTAGTGTGCTGGGGAGGAAAAGCCACCCCTCCTGCTCTTGGAGCTGCTCAGAAGACTGCCTCTGAAAACCAGGCAGGTGAAGCAGGACGGTGGCTGCCTAGGGCCCAAGGAGCAGGCTCTTTGGGCCTCTAAGGTCCCAGCAGTTTCAGCCTGGGGCTTCTGAGGACCCAGCAGGAGGCCAGGCCCATCCTCAGGCCCTCGGAGCCCCCGGGAGCCCAGTCAGGTCCCACAGGGCACCCCAGTATCCTTCTGAGAGGCAGTATCCTTGTCTCCTTCAGGCCAGGGCTACTGGCTGGTGGGAGCCCTTCCCAGAACCTAACACTGGAGGAACAAGCACCCCAGAGAGGGCCCTCCTGAGGACCAGAGAGGAGGGCAGGCCGCAGGGGGCCCTGAAAACAGAGCCCTGAGTGCCTCTCCCGGCCGCCTCTGGCACCCACATGCCCACGGCCCCACCTCCGCTGCTGGAGCCTCCTGCAGCAGCCCTGTGCCTCAGACCACACTCCCCATCCCAGCCCTCAGAATGACCAAGAAACTGGGCCTTGGAAGGGGAAGAGTTGAAAGAAGGCCTCTGCTGATGGAGGGGTTGTGGGCCACTGCGGCCGGCGAGGTGTGGGCTGTCAGTGAAAAGAAGTGGAGCCAAAGAAGGGGAAACAACCTGGAGACAAAAATCCACCCCATCCCATGCTCCCTACAAACTAGCGAAGCAAAGCCTATGTGCTACGGAGAGTAAGAGATTTGGAGGACATGTGGAGAATGGCAGCAATCTTCCCTGGGGAGGAGTAACCAGGGTCGGATTCTAGGAACAGGTAGACGGTGGGGTTGGTGAGTCTGGTGACAACAGACCCAGCATCCAGGGCTGGGGCGTGGGCCTGGGGTGTGCAGTGCTGGGCACCGAGTGGGCTCAAGACACCATAGCAGGGTTTTTTCATTTTGTTTTGTTTTTTCCCCATCCATCACATTCTTCTACGCTTGCCAGTTCTAGTTCCCTGCACGTGGAGCAGGCAGGGTGAGGTACGGGCTCCATAAGACAGGTAGAGAAACTGAGGCACGGGGAAGTGGAGGACCCCACTCTCCTGGACAGTCAGTTGCGGAGCAGGGTTCTGGCCCCGGATCTCCCGAGGGTTGAAAGAGTGGACGAGGATCCAATGGTGGGAGGAGGACGCAGGGCTCTGGCAAGAAGCTGACACTCCAGGACAGGTGACAAGGCCCAGGCCTGGCTTACATAACGCAGCACACCTGTTCACCTCTGCATGCCCCGCACGTGCAAGCAAACGTGTGCTCCAGCACAGCACGCACACCCGGCCCTCGCTCCCTAGCCAATGATCCTCAGAGCCTGGGTCTAAACAAATTGGATTAGGAGGGCTGCAGGCACCTCTTCCCCCGCACCGTCCAGCGCCGACACTGAGCAGGCCTGCAGAGCTGCCAGCTGCGGTCTCTCGGCCACGCTGACAGTCCGTCCTCAGTCCCAGAGACCTGCCCCTGGGCCCCAGGAAGAGGGTCTGAGAGGATGCCAGGATGATGGATGGGCTAGCTCAAGAGCACACAGGATGTCGGTGCTTGTGCAAGGCTCGTTTCTGAGCTGTTCCCAGCACCCCACCCCCACCTCCCCTCCCGCTGCCTCTCCCACGATCACTGCTGCCAGGGCCGGGAGCCCAGGCCCCGAGCAGATCCACCCTGGATCCTCCATCCCACAGCTGGACAAGTGAGAACTGGTCAGCTCAGAAAAGACAATAGCCTGGGGGACCAGACACAGGCAGGCACTTCACAGGGAAAAAGAACTTATGAACAGGGAGACGATGCCCATTATAAAAGTGACATCTCAGGGCTTTCTCATCCATTGTTTTGTTCATTCCTCAGAGTGGGCCTGGGACTGGGAGATGATGCCTGTAACACAGATGTGACTATTGAGCTTTGCTATTCAGTGATTCCACAACTTCCCTTTTCTGAGCCCTGAGTCTGCTCCAGCCCTGTGTGGGGGTACTGGGAGCCCTCAGATGAACAGCTTGGTACCCCCATTGCTAAACAGGACAGACTCCCTTGGGCTTGGGCTCTGGGGCCTCCCTGGTCTTCCTGGGGAGCAGTCCCAGCAGATGTCATTTCCATATGATGCATGTGAGCGGCTGAGTATTATCACTGAGAGCAGCCTTAGCAGTCAGCCCATTCAAAACACAGACCCTGAAGTCAGCCCCAAGTTCAAACCCTGCCTTGCTCCCTTTCTAGCTGGATAGCTGGGGCCAGCTGGCCTCTTCAGGCCTGTTTTCCCTTCTGTGAAGTGGAGGTACAAAAGTTCCCCCTTTGTGGCATTGTAAGGATTTTTTTTTTTAATTTTTTAACTTTATTTATTTATTTATCTATCTATCGCTGTAAGGATTAATCAGTACTTTCCATACTCCCATTTGACACAGGGAGAAACAGAGGCAGGAGAGGGAAAGGGCTTGACCAAGATCACTCAGTGAGTTGGGGATTAAGTAGGGACCAGGTAGGGACCCCCTTCCTCCACCCCTCATCTCAGTATAAATCCTCCCCACTGGCTCCACCCCAAGTGGCCTAGAGGCCAGGCCAGGCGGCCAGCCTATATAGGCAACTATGGGGACAGGACCTGGGTCCCACCCTCCACCTCCAGCTCTGCCCTGGCCTCTGCAGCAGCAGAGTCCCAGGTGACCAACAGTGGCCCCCAGCCCTCAGTGGTGGTGGAGGGTGGGGGAGCACAGGGACGGGCTCCCAGCCCGGAGCGGCCTGGCCATATAAGGGAAGGAGCCAGAGAGGCCTCCTCACTCAGGCCTGGCGAGAAAACCCAGACAGCCACTGTTTATTTTCTCCTTCCCAGCCTCCCGGAGCTTCCCAAGAAGACAGAGGTTCCCCCCACTGGCTGGGCTCAGCGACATTTCCTGAAGACAGTGAGGAGCAGGGAGGGGGAATCGGCCCATTCTCTGGGAGCAGCTCCCCCAGACTGCCAACAGCCGGCACCAGGTAAGAATCTGCCCTGTAAGAGTCTAAGGCCACCTGTTCAACCGTGTCCTTGGGCAGAGGGGATATGGAGCCGTGGAGAGCCGGGAGACGTGACCACAGCAGCTGGTGATCAAAGTCGGGTCTCCCACATGGCCCCCTGCCCCCCAGACTGGGGACCAGGAGTAGGAAGGAGCCTCTCGTGGGGCTACCGACCCCCTTCTCATTCAGCGGAGACCTGGGGTCAGGGTCAGCAGTGTCTGCCTGCTGGGCAAGTAAGAAAGACTCAAGGGAAGAGTTCCCAGGGCCAGAGAGCCAAGAGGACACCCTTCCTGCCTCCGTGCCCCTCCTCCCAGCCTGCCACCTCCTCCTCCAGGAAGCCATCCCAGCTTCCCAAGGGGGGGGGGCGCGACGGGGGAGGGCTCTCTGTCTTCTGAGACCTTGTCTCTCTCTTGTGTTGTGGCCCTCGGGTCTGCCCCCTATTCACCTTGCCAGGGACATTTCCCCTCTATCTCAGCCTGACGGCGCTCCTCCAGGGCAGGGACAGGGTCAGCTTCAGTGCCACGTCCCCTCTGCAGGCGGAAGACGCCCTTAGGTTTGCTGAAGGGTCAGGTGAAATGGTTAGACCCTGTCCCGAATCCAAAGGATTGGTAAAGTGGCGGGGAGAGGAGACATTCAGCCTAGAGGTTACAGTGAGGGTGCTGGCGCTGGCTGCTCTGAGTTAAGAACCCAGCTCAGCTCCTAACTCCAAGGCCTTGGGAAATTCCTTTCCCACAGAGCCTGGGAGTACAAGGGGGTTAGCACAATTAAAATAGTCAATAAACCGCTGTTCTCATTACAGACAGCATCACCAGATTTTTCTAGGTACAAGGGAACAGAACCACACAGCCCATAGCCAGAGAAGAAGGAGGCAAATAGAGTCCCGGGGCAAAGGCTGTCAACAAGCCCCTGCCTCTGCGTCAGAGTTTCTCCCACAGGAACGTGGGCCTGCCTCCCATCTACCTCCCGTCTCCATACCCGGGAGAGGCGCTATCTTTGCAACAATATTCCGAGCCCCGTGCTGGAAATAGCTCTCAACTCCCCTGGTCCAAGCAGGGCTGTGACCGTGGAACCATCTCCCTTCCATCCTGGTCCTCCACGTGGAGGTGACACCAGCTGGGCCGAAGGTTAAATGCGATGGGAACCAAACCACAGCCACTCAGATACCCCCTTCTGTATTTTTTTTCCTCTATCTGCAATCACAGTACCTCTACATTTAAGATGAGTCACGTGTACCCGCGTATGTTTGTATACTGTCCGTGAAAAACTCTGACACTGGCCATAACGAGGAGACGAAGTAAGATAAGCAGCAAGAAGGGAACAGTGTGGTTACCCTTCGCCCCAGTGCGGTGGCTTGCGAGGCCCTGGGCCTGAGGCCTGAGGTCTGAGGCCGAAGGGAAATGAGCAGGAGCTGGGAAAGCCTCAGAGACAGGAGAGCACCAAACAGGCTTTCTCGCCCTTCCTTGTAAATAGAAAGCAAACTGATGCAGGGGAAAAGCTTGCATCACTGTCTTCCACAGGTAGGACTGAGGCCCGCAGACCCCGCAGAACTGCTCATGCGGGTCGCCAGAGGTGGTCCGGTGAAGGCTTTGGAAACAGTTGTGCATCGAGGAATGCAGGAGGCCAGCTTTATCAGCTTGGTTTCTGGCCATGGAAGTTTGTCACTTTGTCAAGAACCACCCCCCACCCCCCACCTGCCCCACCGGCCTCGTACTGAAACGTCCAAGTTGGTCAGGCTGAGCATGTTCCCTCGCGGGGCTGGTAGGGGCCCATCCCAGAGTGGAGCACAGTGGACAGGCTGTGGGCTGTCTAGGACCCCCGAGGTGGGACCCCACATCGGACTCACTCCCCAGCCAAATGTGCTCTGGAGAGAGTTCCTACGGGAGAACTCCAGATGAGAGAAAGGCATTTCTTGGGCTGGGAATACCTCAGGAAGGGGCTGTCCTCCTCAGGAGGCCATGGGGACTGACCTGCCCTCAAGTGGCTGACTGGAGAGAGACACTCTTCAGCTCAAGGCCAGATTTCAGATTTCTAGGAGAGGCATAGGAGACACTTTTTTTTCAAGGAGGAGGTTTTGTTTTGTTTTGTTTTGCTTTCTTCCAGCCCTAAGAAAGGCTACCCACCCCCTTAGGCCTTCATATAACTCTGAAAGTATCTGTCATCTGGTATCAAGGCCACCACCGTAGACACCCAGCAAAGCAGGAAAGTCCTCTGGGGGTGCCCAGGAGGAACACAGGTGGCCCTGCCTGCTTGCTCGCAGAGGTTCCCACCCAAGCCAGGTCTCAAGAAGAAAATGAATTATCTATATTAGCCATTCAGTCACCCACCAAATGGTATTGCCTGGGGCCTATCACCATGTACAAAGACCTCAGCAAGGCCCAAGGACACCCCCCAAATTAACAAATGTCGGCACTGCCCCCAGGGAACTGGATACTAGCCCAGTCAGACCCGGATGCAAATAGCTCTGACACTGGAGATGAGGTTGATGAAAGTAATTCAGTCATTCAACCAATGCTTACTGAGGTCTACACTGCCGGAACCCACTTTCAGTGGTGAGCCCAGACGGCTCACGGGTGGGTGACGCAGCCCACAAGTGTGGTGCAGGATTAGAAGTAGGGCACACAGGGTGTGAGGATGTGGACCGGGGTGTCCTGATGTCTGAGGAAGTCAACAAGGGCTTCCCAGAAAAAAACGGCCTTTTGATACTAGGCGCAGGAAGAGGAGGCAGGCAGGGGGTGTGAGGGGAACAGCACAGCACCTGCGAGCCCAGAGATGGTGGGCACCACGGGGGAAGTGGGAGAGGCCTCGTGGTCTTTGGGGAGGACTTTAGAAATTAGGTGGGAGGAGAGGGAGCACTTTCAGGACCCTAAATCATGGAAGAGACATGACCATATTTACACCTGAAAAGTCACTTTGGAAGGATGTCTGGGAAGGATGCGGGGTGGACGTCGGGGCGGGTGGGGAGTGGAAGCAGGGAGACCAGGTAGGAGGCCAGGGCAAATGTTTGATGGTATAAAATATCAAGTACCACGACCGTGCTGTTTGGCTCGAAGGTACAGAGCATAAAGGTGGGGCCTGGGGTCCCATATCGGATGAGTCCATTTATTGGAATGTCTAGAATCAGCGGCTCTCGAGACAGAAAGCCGGCTGCCCAGAGCCGGGGCTGATGGCAGATGGGAGGGGCTGAATGATAAGAGGTCTCCTGTTGGGGTGATGAAGTGTCCTAAAATTGGCTGTGGCAGTGGTTGCACAACTGGGTGAAAGTATCCGAAGCCATTTCATTGTACACTTTAAGTGTATATGTGGGATTACATCTCAATAAAGCTGGTTTTTAACAAAAGAGGAGTAAAGGGAGGTGGAGGGTTGGTCCCAGAGGGCTGGGAAGCCAGGCTGAGGCCCTGAGGCTGGGAGGGAGACACCGGGGGGGGGGGGGTTGGGGGGTGCTGTGCGGTAGGGCCGTGGCCCCCCTGACACCCCCCTCCCCTGCCTAGGGTGGAGCCCCCGACAGCAGCTCCTGGCACCGAGCAGTGCGCCCTGTCTCCCAGCCTGAGGTGCAGTGCTGCATCTCTGGTCAGTTGGGAGTCTGAGATGAAGCACTGTAGCTCGGGAAGGGAGAAGTTGTTCTGCAGCCGTCAGCCTGGACTTGGTAAGTGGTGGCAGTGCTTGGGGACACCAGGCAGGATGGGAGAGTGTCCAGTCACCCTGCTGCCTGCTGCTTCCCCAGCAGTGCTGGGGAAGTTTCTGGACACAAGTGCTACCCATGCCACCATCTGCTTCATGACTGTGGCCAAATCCTGACTCCTCTGCGCACCCCAGTTGGACCATCTGCAGCTGAAGTGTTGGGGCGTTGGGTGGTCGCCGGTCCCCGACATCCTGCCTCTGCTTTCTCTTTCTGAGCCCATGGTGGACACCGCTCATCAGTCAGGGCATCCTTTCTTGAAGAGATCAGAGGCACCTTCAGAATCCTTCTCCACACCAAGTGCTGGATAGCTATGGTTCATAATCCAGAGCTGAAACCCATTCACCACTTGTGGATTGGACAAATCCTACAAACCTTTGCATCCCTAAAGACAAAAGTCAGTCAAGCTTTGAGTCAAGCTCCTCATTCTTTGAGGGCCTAACCTTGGCTCCAGGCTATTGCCTGAACCAATCCAGGCATTGCATGAAGGTCCAGCCCGTCTCAGAGGCTTGGGACAAGCAAGGAATAGCAGGGACTCACCGGACTCACCATAATGCTATTTAACCTCCTGACGTGCTTGGAAGGTGGCCGGTGTCATTGACCCATTCTAAGACGAGAAGACTGAGGCTCAGTCACCCCGGGGTTGTAGCTCTAATCTGTCTGCTTTTGAGTTTGTGTTCTTAGCCGATGCAGTGCGTGTGATTTGAACACACACACACACACACACACACACACACACACACACCCCAGGGGTGGGGGCGCAGGTGGAGACCCTAATAAATAAATCCAGTCTTCTCCTTTCACCTTGGGTCACTTTTCACAAAGACAGACCTAGAGGGTTTCCACTAAGCCTCTGGGCTGCCTTCCTCCTCCTCTCCCCAACTGCATCTGTCACACCTCATCCGGGAGGCCCTCTCCTCTCCCATTTTACAGCTGAGGAAAGCCGAGGCCGAGAGGCTTGCAGGAGATCCCCGGGAGGAAGCTGGACACTGCCAACCCTGCGGGCCCAGGGTGTAGACTCAAACCCCCCCTCTGGCCCCGGCGGTCATGGAGGGAGCGGGGAGGAGGGGGAGGGCTGGACGCCACCGGGTTTCTGGTCAACCACGCGGCCTCTGACTCCAGGCAAGGTACTTTCCAGGGCGCTTGAGGTTGCCCCCCCTGCCCCGCTGGAGCGGTCACCGTGGCACCGCGCTGACCTCTGCGGAGGGCGCTGGAGGCCGAAGAGGACTCTCGCGTTCCCGGGGACGTGGCAGCGCCGTGTCCTCACGGTCCAGTTTTCCCAGGAATCCCTTAGATGCTAAGATGGGGATTCCTGGAAATACTGTTCTTGAGGTCATGGTTTAGCAGCCGGACTCACCTCCCCGCCCCACCCAGACCTGGCCCCCCGGGACCTCAGCGCACCCTCGGAGGAGGCCCAGCAGGAGGCCGGGCGCTGGAGGTAAGGGGGCTCGCGCACCGGACGGTGAGGTGCTTCCTCTCCGCTTCGTCCATTCCGCAGCGTTCCTCGAGGCCACCTCACCGCGGCTGTAGTCTTGGGAAATCTGCCCGGTGAGGACTGATGGAACCAGGTCACCATAAAGTCTGAGCCTCTGCCCCACTTCCCAGCACGCCCTGCAGTGGGGGCCGCGATGGGGTGTCCACGTTATGGATAAACGCACATGAGTTTTTAAGTTTATTAAATCACTTAGGAAAACCAAGCACCTTAAGTCTTAGCTCGACTTGCAATGCAACCACAGAAAAATGAACTTTTTTTCATCCAGAAGACAAAAAAAGCTCAGCGCGCCCTCTTGTGGTGACACCTGCCTCTATTTACCTCCAGAAGCACGGGGTGCTCTGACACACACACACACACCGGACACATGCCCCGACATTCCTTTTGCCCCAGTCACATTGCACCAGTGAGCACATCAGCCTGCCCATCATCTCATTACCTATGATCCTCCGTCACTTAGAGACTAGTCCTACTCCTACAGCCTGGCTTCGGCCTCGAAGCTCTCCGTGCTGGGTGAGGCTGAGAGGTGAAGTGACCAGCCCAAGGTCACCCAGGCAGCCAAACGCAGAGCTGGGATTGATTCCAAGTTCAGTGGCCTGTGGCAATTCCTTAGCCACAAGCAAAAGCTACAAAAAGAAAAAAGAAAAAGATGACTCTGTCTAAAGAGACAAAGGAAATGCTAATGACCCGATGCCACAGACCCGAGGTGGTCCTGGGGCTGCACTAGAACTTTTTGCAAACTCCTTCTAGTGCTTTCCAAGGAGTCTGTAGAGAGAGTAGGTGCCGTGGCCCTAGAATCCTCACCAGAGTGTCTGGTCCCCTTACTCCCAGGGACCAGATGGCTCTCACATGTGGCTCTGGCTGTCTTCCTAGCGGACCATCTTGAAGACATTTATGCAGTATGCGAGCCCTTCCCCCTCCTCCACAGACTGGAGTCGGCCTGACGGTAGAGAGAGCTGACTTGCTCCTAATAAATGATAATAATAATAGCGTCAGTGAAAATGATAATAATAATAGCATCCATTCATTGACTGTTTACAACTAGCAAGACACTGTGCTAGACAATTCTCAGGCATTGTCCCATTCAGTCCCCACTACAACCCAGTGAGGTAGGTTCCATCGTTTACTCCATTTCACAGATGAGGAAGCCAAGGCTCAGAGAGGTTAAGAGACTTGCCTAAGGTCACCCACCTAATAACAAGCTGGGATCACATCAAGTCTGTGTTTATGCTTTTCACCTGCCCTTGCTCCCTCTGTCCCGTTGGCCTGGCCTATCTGGCAGGGCAGTCTCCCTGGGGCTCCGGGGCTGGGGGGGAGAGGGTTAATCAATCCTTCAGTGAGACCCAAGTGGTCCGACCTGTGCCTGTGGTTCTAATAAAGCACTAGACCTTTGCCTTGTGTCCTGTTTCTTCCTGGGAACACGGGGAAAGGGGAGGAGGAGAAGGCAGGGGAAGAACCTGACAGCCTGTTTTAGTTCGGGCTGTCCTAGCAAAGAACCACGGCGGGGGGAGGGGCTTCAACAAGAGAGTTTTATTTTCTCCCAGTTCTGGAGGCCAAAAGTCTAAAATCAAGGTGTCTGAAAGGTTGGTTTCTTCCAAGGCCTCTCTGGCTTGTAGACGGCTGTGTTCTCCGGGTGTCCTAATTCTGTCTTCTGAGCCAGCCAGTCCTATTGGGTTAGGGACCACCCAATGACCTCGGGTAACCTTGATTACCTCTGTAAAGACTCTCTCTCTAGTACAACCACATTCTGAGTTACTGGTGGGAAGCGGTTAGGATTTCCACATGAATTGGGTGGCGGTGGACACAAGTCAGCCCAGAATACAAGCCCAGCTGAGAAAATCCCCAAGTCTTTCACTTTGCCAGCCATTTCCAGAGGCCACCGATAGACACCAGTCAGGACCCACATCGGGGCAGTCAGAAGCCCCAGGAAGCTTCCGTGCTATGTCTAGGAACACCCGGCTCTGGCAGGTTAGAGAAGGAAAGAGTCCCACGGGGTAAGATCCACTGGGGTGGGACCGAGGCACAAGCCGAGGGGCCTAGCCACATGGCGACCTCTCCCCTTCAGTCCCAAAGGTGTGACTGACCAGATCAAACAGGAAATCACACCTCACATAGGTGTTAGGGTTCAGAGCAACTCTGGACTTTAACTGTACCGTAGGCACCATTGGCCAACGCTTGGGGTCATTTTAAATACAATCACTTCCCCTTTACCATGATCCTCCAAGCTCTGCTACATTTTGAGGGGAAAAAAAATCCAACAACCTGACAAACAGCCACTTACATCTGACAATTCCCAGATGCACAAGGCCTCCCCGCGTCTCTCCTTTGCAGCCCAGGGCAGGCCGGGAGGAACGCCTGCCAGCCTGCACCCCCCTCCTGAGGAGCCACGGGGAGGGGGTGGAGGAGGCAGGCCGAGGGCAAGACCTGTGGCTGTGTGCGCTGTGTGAGACACTCCTCCCGTCCCTATGATACACTCCCACCCCCAGTCTGTTCGGTTTTGAAACTGGACCCAGTCAGAAGCTCGTTGGCCTTGTCCTTGCTGTGGTTCCTTCTAGAACTCCCAGTGCACACCCCAGGGAACTTATCATCGCCAGCTAAGCTGGGCCTTCCTGACAGGATTCCACATTGTGGATTGGGGGTGGACGGGAGTAACAGCAAATATGTAACCGAAGGAGGACCCGCTTTATTCACCACTGTGCAACTCTCCCGCCTTCACTGGGCCGGACGGGCACCGGGGGCTGGGGCTGCAGCAGCCACAAGGCAACCAGAGGACCCCACGGTGTGAGGACAGACTCATCACACACACATAAACGTGAGCTTGGGCGCTTCCCTTGCAGAAGTTCAGCGCTGAGACCATTTCTGAACACAGCCCTAAGGTAGCAGCAGTTTTCAACACATCCCTAAATGCCACAGGCCTCCGTCCTGTGGAGAGGCCGAAGTGGCGCCCCTGGTGACAAGTTCGGGGACATATCTCAAGGACTAGAGGCCCAGGCTCTTCCGGTAGGAGAGTCTACACCTCCTCTGACTGCAGGGGAAGCCTGGCCCCGGTGCCTCCCTGAGGAGTGGCTGAGGGGGCACGACTGGGGCAAGAGGAAGAGGGTGCCCTCTTGTGGTCCACCCTGGGAAGACAGCCCTGCTTGCTTCGAAGGACTTCCCGTTATTACTTTTATCAATGACCATTAGCAGACACATTTATGTAGAGTTTTGCATTTCAAAATGCACTTTCCATCACATGACCTCATTTGCTCCTTGCTATGAAGTGCAGATTGTCATCTTACTTTTACAGAGGCCCAAAGAGTTTAAGCAATACTCATTAAAATAGCACTACTACTACTACTATTACTAACAATAATAACATCTGATTTATTGAGCCTTTACTCTGTGCCTGGCCCTGTGAATTTGTTTTATACACATTATCTCATTTGTGAGATTTGTGGTGGTCCTTGTGGTGGTACAGATAGAGAATGCGTTCCAGGCACTAGACATGGGTCCCATAACTGGTAAACAGCTTGGTCAGGAAGCAAACCTGGGAAAATCTACCTGGGATGATCTAGCACCTGCTCCAGCCAGGCCAACCATTTCTTACATAAACTTGGAGAGAGGGGTATCCAATGAGGTCTTCCAGCTCCCAGAAGATTCCCCAGCTGCCTCAGGTGGGAAGAAGGTCCTGGGAGACTTCACCCATCAGGATTGACCCTGCTACAGACCCCAACATGCCATTGGCTCCAAGAGCATGCTGTTGGCCTTGAAGCCAAGAGTCCCTCTCGAGGCACCCTCTTCTGCCTTCTGGTGTGCCCTGAGGAAACTCACACCCTTGGCTCAGCTGAGAGATTTTACAACCTGCTTCAAGGAGAAAGGTTCCCCCAGTCCCTGAGAGCTGCTTCTCTCAAATGGGGACAGCAAAGAGTCACCTGGAAATTGCTGCAGGATGTGATCTGATGATCAAGACAAAGGAAGTGAAATGGAATGCTCTGGTCCCTAACAAAAGGGCTTGAAAGAAAGCTGCTGACCCTGAGGAAGCCTGAGGGAGCCCAGAGGAGGACAATTGGGTCTGCAGGGGATCACACACCCCAGCAGTCCTGCGATCCTCACTGGCAACCCCTACAGACCAAGGTCATTGCTGTGAAGAGGGGACCCAGGCCTGTTCCCGCGTTTCAGATCCAGTCAGCCTCTCTCATGGGAGAAGTCACAGAGGACACGAACTTGTGGAATATGGGGGTGGCACTCAAGTGGCTCACCCTGGGACACATAGGGGCAATTGGCCTCCAACATGTGGGAGGCTGGAAGGAACCACAGTGACATTAATTTAGAGACTCTCCTCTCTGACCCAAGCAATTGACCACTCCTACATCCCAAAACTATGTGTTTCTTGGCCTGCTCATCCAAGAACAATTTCTGGCAAAGGGGTATGCACATCTGCTTGCATACCTCCAGCGACAAGAACCTCACCAGTCAGCCCTATGTCCTTAGTCAGCCTGGTTGTCAGGAGGGCCTTTCCCTGTTGGGGAGAAATGCTTATTTCTCCAAGTTTCTCCACTGCCTACAGAGATTTATAAACAATGGAGCTGGCTTCCTTGGGCTTTTGTCCTATAGACTAAACACGCTCAGAGCCCCCAGTGGGCCTTGGAGACTGAATTTAACTTTGTTTTTCTTCTTACACAATCAAGCCCTGGTATTAAGACTCCTTCATGTCTTTGGGATCAAGACCCCTCCAAGACTCTAATAAAAGCTGTCAACTATCTCCATGGAAAATAATGCATATCCACACAAAATGTTATGTATTATTTTAGGAGTTCCATGGACTCTAAGAACACTTTGCTTAATGTCATAGTTTCTAGAAAATGGTTGGCCTTCAGGGTTAATTTACGTATTTGACAAATGTTTTTGGAGAGCCTACTACATGCCAGGCAGGCACTGTTTCAGGTGCCCAGAATGGAAGTGTGAACAAACCAAATCCCACCTCCAGGAATTCACAGTCTAGAGCAGGAGATAGACACCAAGAAGGAAGCCAACGCATAGTTGAGTCAATTTTATATTGTGACAAATTCAAGGAAGAAAATGAAATGGAGTAGTATAATAACTAGTGCTAGAATGGGGAATGCTATTTTAAGTTGGAAGGTCAGAGAGGGCTTGGGGGGGGTGATATTTGCATAGAGGTCAGATGACAGTGGGGACAGAAGGGCTTGAGGGCCAGGCAGGTGCAAGGATGGGTGTCAAGACCCTGAGGCAGATGGAGCAAGGGATCTTCACACAGGAGACCAGGGAGGATGCAGCCTGCAATGCAGGGGGCGTGAGATGGGACTGAGGGGCCCAGGGCCCAGGCAGGAGGGGCCTGGGGGCTGCTGTACCTAAGTGATCTAAGTGACACAGCCAGATACATTTTAAAAGGTCACTCTTAAATGGGGCTGAGGGCTAGAAATGCATTCCCCTTTCACGTTTTCTTTTTCTTTTCTTCTTTTTTTTAAGGTCTAGAATAAAAGTCACATGCTCTACAGACTGAGCCAGCCAGGCGCCCCTCCCCTTTCACATATTCTTGTCTCTATGAAGAAATCCTAGGAGGGGCACCTAGGTGACTCAGTGGTTGAGCGTCTGCCCTTGGCTGCGGGCGTGATCCCCCAGGGTCCTGAGATGAGTTCTGCATCGGGCTCCCTGCAGGGGGCCTGCTTCTCCCTTTGCCTCTCTCTCTCTTTCTCTGTGTGTCTCTCATGGATAAATAAATAAGATCTTTCAAAAAAAATCCTAGGAAAATAAAAAAGAAACTAGTAAGAGTGGTTACCTGGAAAAGCAAGACCTCCCAGCATTTACATTTTATGTTATTGAAATGACATGTGTATATCACCTGCATTAGCATCCTGTGGCCACCATAACAAATGATCACAAACCCGGTGGACCCACAACAACAGAAATGTATTCTCCCGTAGTTCCAGAGGCCAGAAACCCAAAATCAAGGTGCTGGCAGAGCTATGGTCCCTCTGAAGACTCTAGGGAAGCTCCTGTTCCTTGCTTCTTCTATCTTCTGATGGTTTCCTTGGCTTGAGGCCACATCACTCCAATCTCTGCCCTGAATTGCCTCCTCCTCTTTTCTCTGTCAAATCTCCCCTGTGTGTCTCTTGTAAGGGTACTTGGCACCGAATCAGGGAAAACCCAGGATGAGCTCTTCATCTTAAGATCCTTAACTTAATCACATCTGCAAAAAACCCTTTTTCTGAACAAGATCATGTTCACAGATTCTAAGAACGGGTCTGAACATACCTTTCGGGGTACCACCTTTCTACTCATCACAATATCTTTTTTTTTTTTCATCACAATATCTATTCCAAAACATCAAAGTCAACTTAAAAAATCTGTTTTGGCTCTGGGGTTGCAAGTGGACTGTAGGGTGTCAGGGTGGA